TAAAAATATTCTTAAAATTTTAGTAAATTGAAAATACATTTCCAAAATTTACCAAGTAGGGTGTATCCCAGAAACAAAAGGTTGATTCAGCTTTTGATAATCAATCAATGTAATTCACTACATTAACAGACTAAAGAAAAACTACACAATCATTTCAACAGATACAAAAAATACCAAACAAAATATTTGACAAAATCGATTCTTGATAAAAACTCTCAGCAAACAAGATAAAAAGGAACTTCTACAACCTAGAAAAGGGCATCTATAAAAAGCCTATACTTAATATCCCACTTAATTGTGAAAGACAATGTTTTTTCACCTAAGATAAGTAAAAAGATAAGGATGTCTGCTCTTACCACTTCTACTCAACATTGTGTGGGAGGTTCTAGCAAGTGTAAAAAGGTCAGAAAAAGAAATGAAAAAAGTTTCAAGATTGGAAAAGAAGATGTAGTTTTATTTATTCATGTTACATGATTATCTCTATGTAGAAATCTCATGAAATCTACAAAAAGTCTACAAGAACAAGTGAGTTTATGAAGATTACAGGATTCCAGATATATGAATATACAAAAATTTAATATAGCTCTATGAAAAAAAACCAAAACATCAGAAATTGAACTTGTTCTTAAAATATCATTTGGCATCAAAATATGAAATACTCAGGGATAAATCTGACAAAATAAGTGTAAGACCTTTAAACTTACAAGTACAAAACACTGCTGAGAAAAATTAAAGATCTAAATAAGAGGAGAGAAATACTATCTTCATGGGTCAAAAGACTTAATATTAAGATGTTAATTCTTCCCAAATTGACTTACATATTCAATGCAATCCAAATCAAACTCTAGACCTTTTTTGTAGAAATGGCCAGTGCATTCTAAAGATCATAGGAGAATGTAAATTGCCTAAAATAATCAAAACAATTATGAAAAAAGAAGTACAAAGTTGAAGGATTAACACTTTCTAGCTAGAAGATTTACTTTAAAGCTACAGTAATAAAAATAATGTAGTATTGGCTTAAGAATAGTCATATAGACCAATGGAATAGCACAGAGCCCAGAAAGATGCCCACATGTACTTAGACAACTAATTCAAATGACAAGGGGCGACAAGGGAAAGGTGCCAGCAACAAATTATGTTGGAATAACTAAATTTCCATATGCAAAAAGTGAACTTCTACCCTTACCTGACACCAGACTGAAACTTAATTCAATATGGTTCACATTTTTAAAGGTAAACAGTAAAATTGTAATACTTCTAGAAGAAAACATAAGAGAAAATATTAGCGACTTTGAGTTAGGCAAAGATTTCTTAGATAGGGCACTACACATACTAACTACAGAAAAAAAGAATAAATTGTACCTGACCAAAATACAAAAACAAAAACAAGTTTTGTTCCTCGAAAGACACTTAGGAAAATGAAAGACAAGGCCAAGAACTTGAAAAGAATATTTGAAAACAGACACTTTTAATAAATACTGGTATCTAGAATATATAAAGAACTATTACAACTAATTAATAAGAAAACAATTTGATGAAAAAGTGTGTAAAATATTTGAATAGACACTGGCAAAGAATATATGTAAATGGCAAATAGGTATATGAAAAACAGCTCAACATTAGTGAACAGGGAAATGTGATTTAAAATGACAATCTACTACAAACGGACCAGAATGGCTTAAAATTAGACTGCCAATTCCAAGTATACTGTAGGTCTCA